GATGGTCTCTCTCATACACTAATAGCAGAGAAAGTCAAGGGAACAATAAATGAAATCCTTTGTTGTCTCTAAGAAAAACAGGCGAAAGCCTGAAAGAGTCACCAGTGCCCCTCTTCTCTAGGGCTTAAAACCAGATTCTTGGCTCAGAAAAGTACATGAAAACAATGAAAGTGTTTCCTCAGCCTGAATGCTCTCCCTCCACGTTAGGTGGGACCATAAATGCATTGACCTGATCACTGTGCTGGCTTTGGGATTGGCCACAATGTCTAATTCACTAAATAACCTTGAGCATAAAAATGAGATTCTGCTCCAGAAAACTCTTTAATCTCCCTTGTTTTTATGGCTCAGCAAAGGTGTCAGAAGTTTGACACTCCGGATAACTGAGCTCCTGCATTTAGAGTGCAGCCTCCGAAGAGTGGCAACTTTGCTTTGAAATAGTCTTTCTAAACTTTGGTTGACAATTAGCATTTCAAACGGTTGCAAGTATGTAGCTGCCATCTCCTAATACACAGTTTGAATCAAATGCAAGGATTAATAGCACAGCACTAAAAACAACCATAAAATCCACCTGCTTTGGAAGTGTTCCTGCCAACTCTCAAATAGATGAAGGTCTTGAGCCATGTACCATTGGCCATCCTCAGTGTGGGGTGAGAGGAAGGAGACATTCACCTACCTGTGCAGACCAGACCTCACTGCCTGGAACTGTTTTCTGCCCTAGATAAGTGTTACAAGACACAGATTTATTTGCATGAAAAAAAAAACATTAAGAATTTTCCCACCACAAGACAATGTTGGTTACTTCTAGGTGTAGATGGTAAAACTCCGATGTTCTGTCTCAGAGAGCAATAGTCTCCCTCCCGTGCACGTGTTGCAGGCACTTGCTGAATTAGCTCAGGAGGGAGCTGATGGACAGGGCTATCAGCAAAACACATCATTTCCATAACTGGGGGCCCACCAAAGCCAGGGACAATGTCTGCTCTGGTCATGTTGAAAAGAGAGCTAAATCATTGCCATGGATTTTATCAGCCATCTCTGACACTGTCAAGGGGGTGCTTAAGAGGCAGTCTGAACAATGGGAATTCTCCATGTGCAGAGGAGGACAAGAGGCTAACATGGCCAACAAGATCCGCTCAGTCCCACTTCTATGCTAGCCAGAGACTTAAGGGTTTCTCTTCGAGTGTGCTCACAAACTAATCAATAAAATAGAGACAGAAGTGGTGCCCGGATGCTGCTGTGCCTGCGCATCACCGGGATGGGATCCTGCGCTCCAGGACTGCCTAATGCTAGGCAGGAATACTCTTATGAGTGGTGTTTTTTCCCTCTCCTTTAAATGAATGCAAGCAACAGGGGTTTTCTTTACAGCTCATTCTCTAATAACTCAGGTTAGTCATAATGAAATCTGTTCTTAGGGTAGAATTAATATGAGATAGTAATGGTGATGAGGTAATTAGCAGCTACCAGGAGTATTTAACCTTCCTGGTGACAGCGTGTCTGACATCACCTGAGCTCGTGCAGGCTCTGTGAAAAGAATTAACAATTTTAAATTACTCCATTTAAGTTATTAATTATGAAATAGGAATGGGCTCAGGAAGAATGGCAGCAGTGCCCTGTATCCTGGTGGGTTTTCCACCTCTGCATATCTTAAATCTGTGTATTTTCTGTTTTCCGTTTCATTATTAAATTGAAATAGGATGGCATGTATTGAAGGACATCTGCTTGGTAACCATTGGCTACTCACTTTTGTTATCCCACCTCCCATGAACCATCGGGATGACAAAATTCCTTTTCCACTCGTTTTACCTGGCAATTCAGTTCATACTGAAGGGTTACAATGGCCAAATATTTTGATCGTTTTTTTCTTAGTGCCAACGTTTTCCTTGGACCAGGATTCCTTCTCCCTGGTAATGTTTTTAACCTCTTCAACACATGTCACTGCAAGAAGTTATTGAGCTGCAGCGATACCTGAATTGATTTCTTGGTGTTGTCATGTACCATCTCCTGGAGTGTACACCTCAACAGGATGTAGGAATGATGCAGCCATCCTCCTCTTGAGAAACACAGGAAAACAGAGCCCCCCGCAGCACTGCTGATGGAGAGAGGAAAAGAAGTGACTCTTACTGAGAAGTTTCATAAGTAACTTGTCAGAGATACGGAGCTGTTGGAGGCTGGGAGGACGGTGAGGGGCTGGAGCACCTCTCACATGAAGACAGGCTGAGAACATTGAGGCTGTTCAGCCTGGAGAAGAGAAGCTGAGTGGAGACCTCAGAGCAACTTCCTGTGTCTGAAGGGAGCCTATGAGGATGCTGGAGAGAGACTCTTCATCAGGGACTGTAGAGAAAGGACAAGGGGTGATGGATTCAAACTGAAACAGGGGAGATTTAGGTTGGATATAAGGAAGTTCTTCCCTGTGAGAGTGCTGAGGCGCTGGCACAGGGTGCCCAGAGAAGCTGTGGCTGCCCCATCCCTGGCAGTGTTCAAGGCCAGGTTGGACAGGGCTTGGAGCAAGCTGCTCCAGTGGAAGGTGCTCCAAAAGAAATTTGCAAACATTTGCTTCTATAGTGCATTTTTATGGCTTGGGAGTTTGCTTTCATAAATTTTCCATCTAGTCATTTCATGGGTTGTAAACGTGCACGTGTGAGTGCATGAATCTGCCTGTGCACACCCACCCATACCCACAGGGTTCTGTCTATCCCACCCAGGCTGCCCACACCCCTTAATGCACTTGCAGAGCTCTTCTCCAAGTTCCTCACGCTGCATTACAGTTTCTCTTCATTAGCAGCCAGTAATGTATTAATGCATTCCTTAGTGGGAAGTGTGCTCCTCACTATTACCTTGGACACTCATTTAGTTGAATTTGATAGTGACAACACATTGACATTGGTAAGGTTAATGACCCAATACTTTATTTCATTGAACAAGTTGAACAACATTTAGTACGTTGTTCCACAATGTCCTAGAGAGCTGTCAGTGCTATTACTTTTATGGTACTATGGCATTTTTGCCCTTTAAGTAATTGGCACCGTGAAAATATTCTCTAGATCTTGTCACAATTGATTAGTATTGCATTGAATTACAAAAAAAATGACTTTTATTTTCCTTTTGCAATCCCTTTTTGTGGAAGGAAGGCAAAATTTGATCCTTATGGAATAGAAAGGCTGACAGCCCTAAAAGTAGAGTGGGGAGACAAAGTGCTAACTGCTGCCTTGGCTTTCTGGATCTGTAGCCCACAAAGCTCTGCCCCTCACCTGTCCTGACCTGCTGTGCTCATCCCCTCTGGATTTCACAGGAGATTGTTCTAGCTCTGCTTTTTTCTGGGCAAGGCAAGTAAGGCACAGCCATTCTCAGTGAGTTCTGCTTTTCCCTGTGCCCTGGCATGGCTGCAGGGCTGTTCATGGCTTAACCACATCCCACATTGCATCTGCAGGGGAGCAGCATTAATGGTGCTGCTGGTGGAAGGCTGGTCCCTGCAGCAAACTCTGAAGCACACCAGCATCCCCCAGGCTCCTCTCTAAGATTGTCTTTCAAAGGACATGACTGTGCTCATACTTTTTAGAGGAAGGAGAAAACAAATATGGACTTAAATGGACTGGGTGATGGATTACAGTGTGGCTGATTCCTATTTGCATCCACTGCTAGACATGGTGATGTGATCCCCTTGCACTGTATGTGCCAGGAGTCTTCATGGCTCAAAAGCAGAGAATACTGCATCTTCCGAAGAGGCTGGAGGATGAAAGGAAAGATGTGTAGGATGAATTCCCTGTTGACAGCCAGGTCTGAAATTACAGCTTCTAGAAAGAGAAGTGGCATTTGGTGGCAGTGGCCCAGAAGACAACCAGTGTTTTCAGCAAGGGACTTGAAGGTGCAAAGTAGAACATAGTTTTTGTGTTTGTATCAGCAACAACAACAAAAAAAAAAAAGCCTTGACTTTGGATTCATGTTGTCCTTCTGTCACCTTCCCCTCGCTTTTAAATTACCCTTGATTGTACAACATCTGCTCCCTTCATGCATGCATATGGCTGTCTCCTTAAATCTGCATTTCTGTGGAGGGGCTGCATACAAATACCCAGCTGAAAGTTTTCTTTCAAAGATCTGACTACCCAGCTTGCTCTGGAAAAGCAAACTTGGCATCAAGATAACTGTAAAAAGCTGACAGTGGGGGAAGGGGATACCTGTGCAGAGGAATGGTAATGACAAGTGTCAGACAGGAACGCTGGCAACAACCGAAGATGAAGCAATCGAAGGATCAAAACTGGCAACGACCAAAGATGAAGCAATGGAAGGATCAAACCCCGCATCTTCAGAGGGGAGGTTGTGTTTCATTCTTGTATTCAAAACACAAAATCCTCACAGATGTGAATCCTGGAACATGAGAGGAATGTCAGGTTTTTAGGTATATGAGAAAAACTCCTACAATTGGCATTCTCGGAACGTCTCCTCACCAGACATTTGCTACCCAAAATAATTCCCAAAGATTTTCAACAGAGCTCTGGGTTGCAGGTGTATAGGATGGCAAGATAAAGGTTTATCTGCTGTAGGCTCTACTTGGTAAAAAGTTATCCCTCTTTTGATTTTGAATCTTAAAAAATAACCATATAAAAGTACAGCACTGTCCTCTGATCATCTCTCGCTGCTTACAATATGTTATGTAGCTTGTTCTTCTGTTTTTATGGAATATGTTAGCTGGCTTTTAGTTTTGTGGTAGAGGAAATACATCTATATGTGGATGGTAGAGGGCTGAATTCCAAGGCCTTGGGCAACCTGGTCTAGTGGAAGATGTCCCTGCCCATGGCAGATGGTTGGGACTACATGATCTTAAGGTCCCTTCCATCCCAAACCATTCCATGGTTCTGTGACTTGCAGTATGCCTGTAGGCTGCTTAATTAACTTCTCAGTGCCTTGACCTCTACTTGACAAGTAGCTGTTATCTCCTGTTCAAGTCCTTACTTTAAGCAGTCACTGGCATCTGGCTGAGCTCTATTCCTTCTTCTGTGCTATGTGAGGTTGGAACTGGCCAAGGGAGCTTCCAGGGTCCCCTGGGAAGAGTACAGGCAATACCTCTGTGACTGAAGATGCTCGGCTGAGGATGGTCGTGTCCACACAGGCAGCACCACTGTAGAACAGTGACATCCAGCATCCCAAGGTGAGGCAGAAGCATTTCTCTAACACTGCAAGAGAAAGGTCTCATTTGGTGAACAAGTATATTTGGGTTTTTTTTTGCTAACCTTCTTATCTTCTGTCTTCCCTCCCTGCTGCCTACCCCCTAACCCTTTTACCTCCCTTCCCCAGCTGAGCCTTTCTGGAATATACTCTATATTTGTCTCCTGCTTCCCTGAACACCCATTATTATGTAGAATAATAATGCAGGAGCTCTGCTCGGCACCTCTGCTCAGTGGCTCCAAGTGGGTTGAATTGTAGCCAGCGGCAGGGGGTGATAAATGTAGCGTAAGATGCCTTTTCCACAGCAAACTGCAAATTGCCTCAGCAGCACAGCCCACAAAAGGTTCCTGCAGAGCAAATTTATCTCCCATTGTCGACCCAAGGAGGAAAGTGGAGAGGACCAAGCATCCTATTTTTAAAAAGTCACATTTGATCTTGTTCAGACTCAGAGTCCAGAGTATTTTAAAGGACTTTTCATGGAAACTGCAGACTTGAGAATGCAGCACAGATAAAGGGATTTATTTTTAACTGCAGCCTGGGTTCATGACCATGTAAGCATTTCAATTTTAAGCCACTCAGTTTGAATATTCACCAAAGTGAATGTTATGTCACCTAATAACTCATGGGTGGGAGGAGGGATGGTGGCTGGTGAAGGGAAGAATAAGACTGTTAGAGAGAAATTGCCCTCTAAAGATTACCCTGCACTTCCTAAGCAAAGGAGAAGGGGAGGATCGATACCAGGGGGGTTTATCTGCCCACTCCAGAGTTCACACTGTGCCTCCTCCCATATGGTTTAGTCCTCAGACAGCAGCATGATGGGCAGTCCTGAGGAATGTGTGGTGATGGATATATAGTTGGAAACCCCCAGTGATGGATGATGGAGAAAGGGAGAGGGGGACATTTGGTGATTGATCGATAGTGGCACAACCGCAGTATCCACAATTAATGGTATGAGGTGTCTCTGATGTATAACTCTAAGTACCTTTGTATTTGATACTTACTTGCCATCTTCCTACTCTACTGTCCTCTAAATGTCAGTTAATGAATTAAATACTGATAATTGGTATTAGTTTGCTGAGCTTGGCTGTGGCCAGGCAGGAGGAGCCCTCCCCACCATTCCTGAGCATCCACTGCTGCAGAGCTGGACTTGGGATGCGGTCCGAATGGTCCTCCACTCATCCGCACTGGTTGATGGGATTTATGAGTGTGTTTCCAGGAGTAAATGCCTGAGTGCCTTTAATTGTATCCTTCATTAGCATCCTAGAGTTATTGTTTGTATTACAGTAATTGTTAGGATCCACCTCTGAGATCGAAGCTCTGGGCAAACAGAGAACAGAGCAGCTTGCGAGCATCCACAACTGCGTGGCAAGGGTGGGAGGAGAAAACAAGGTGCTGGGAAGCAGGGAGAATGGCCTGGGCATAGCTGATGGGTGGAAGGAATAAGCAAAACTTCAACCCCAGTATCCACACGCTGCTCTGTGCCTCCCTTGTGTGCTAAATCCCATGGAAATGCATTTTGCTTGTGTTCACTTGCCTTCAAGATGAGGTTAAAGGCTTCAAAATCTGATACATGCTTGCTGTGTGCTCTTCCAAAGCACATTAGTAAGTGCAAAGGAATTATTCTGGAATGAGGAGTGTGTAAATGGAAGTAGATTAGCTCTCTTTGCCTCAGCGTTCCTATTTGTGATGTATTGCTAAGTAAATACTTTAATGCTGGTGTGAAGTCAGGCTTAATTTATTAATGTCATGCCTAATTAACCTGTCAAGATCCTTCCTCAGAAAGAGGATTATTAGGAACAATAATGTTACTATTCCACTGGTGTTGCTTTTAGCTGAACTCACATGAAGAAGTGATCAGAACCTGGGAGTCAAGAAGCGATGAGCAGCACCGAGGGCAGCCTGACCTGTGTCCGGGGGCTAACAGCAGATTCCACCCAAGCAAGGAGGCTCGTGCTCTGTCCTGCAGGCACATGGGCAAAGGAATTGGTAAGAAAACATCTAAACCAGCTTGCATTATATATATATTCATTTCCCTTTGGCTTAGTTGAAAACACATCAACCTATTTGCAATTCCAAGTTGAATTTGAGGGACTAGAGTCTATTTTTGTGGCGTTAGCATAATGAAAACTAAACGTAAGGTTGCAGTTATTTTCTGAATGGCCTTTAAGCTTCAGGTTTATTTATACACTGTTTCCAAAGGACAGAAAAATATTCTCCCTTTGTCTTCATCTAAGATATCTTCACATCTTTTCACATGCAAATAATTCATGTCACTGAGAAAAAAGTTGTCTGTGAATCACTGATGAGTCTTTGATGCTTAACGTGCTGTCCAGCGTATGCATAGAGTTCTCTTGGAATGGAGTTTAACAAGAGAATCTGATTTTCTTCCTCACATCCTTAAAGTTTCCCATTCAGATTTCTCTTTAACAAGCAAATGAATGTTCCAGCATCATTATGGTTTCTGTTGTAAAAATGGCAGCTTCCTCCATCCTGTGTTTTCACACAACAAGGAGCCCAGCAGCTGAGCCATGCTGTGATTGCTTCCAATATGGCCTGTAGCATGGTTTGAAACAGGAGTCTGGCAGGACTCTCAGGGAGGCAACTTCCTCGTGCTCAGGGAAAACATGGCAAAACCATTTGTTTAGGAGCAGGGTTCCTTCCTGAAGGGTTTTCTATAGGAAGTTGTTGAGTCAGCTTTGATGTGCATTTGTTCAACATTTCAGTGTGAAATCTTAGTGCAGAAGGGTGTTCTTATAGACCCAGGCTGAGAGAGCTGGGCTTGTTCAGCCTGGAGAAGGCTCCTTAAGGGGAGACTTTAGAGCAGCTCCAGTGCCTAAAGGGGCTCCAGGAAAGCTGGAGAGGGGCTTTGGACAAGGGCCTGTAGGGACAGGCCAAGGGGAATGGCTTTAACCTGCCCCAGGGGAGACTGAGATGAGCTCTTAGGCAGAAGCTCTTCCCTGTGAGGGTGCTGAGGCGCTGGCACAGGGTGCCCAGAAGCTGTGGCTGCCCCATCCCTGGCAGTGCTCAAGGCCAGGTTGGACACAGGGGCTTGGAGCAAGCTGCTCTAGTGGAAGGGGTCCCTGCCCGTGGCAGGGGTTGGAGCTGGAGGAGCTTTAGGGTATCATCTTCTAACCCAAACAAGTCTGGAGTTGTATGGTTCTCTTAAGAGCAGCCCAGAGCCACTGCTGCCCAGTGCTTGCTAAGGCTTCAAACCTGGCTCTTGCTGTGTGTTTGCAGAATGATTAAAATCATGCTCCAATACAAATAATAATAAAATATACAATGCATCTCAAAGTGCCTGAGAGAGAATGAATAATTAGCCATAGAATAGAATATATAAACAGAAACTGCCTTAAAACCAGATGAAAATATGTCGGGAACAAGCTACTGTTACATTTTCCACCCCCATCTGAATATGTCTGGGGATGCTTAAACTCTACTCTGGAGGAAAAAACCTCTTCTCATTTCTCCTTTATTAGTATGCTACTGTAGCAGTTTTGAGAAATTAAAAATAATTGATACATTTGAGAAGGCACAAGCAGTAACTATTTCATATTTTTAAAAGCTTTGCAAAATATCCAGGAAAAAGTGCTGTGCATGCATAATGCCAAAGCTAAAATCTGCTCGGAGTGATGCAGTCAAGCCCTCTTTTATGGGAATAACCGTACATGTGGTGTAAATGGAGGGTTTCTGCTGTAGCTGGGAAGAACCTGAGTGATCCCGGGTTTAAGTACTTGAGCTCTTTTAGCTGGGCTGGGAAAGGTTTTCCCTTCAATCAGCAAAGGTGCTTGAGGGAGAGCTCCTGGTGTAGCACCCATTCTGCTGAATACATCCATGCTGCTGGCCTCACACACCCTTGTTCTGTAACAACAAATGCCTTAATTACAAGTGATTTGGTCAAAGTCTTGCTAGCTCTGCGTGCATTAAACGGAACAGATTAAACCTGAGACCAGGCATTGTTGGGGGATTCTCTGGCAGGGGTTTTGTACCACGTTTTTTGATGCATATCTAACACATCATCGCTCTCAGCTGTTTACAGTATCTGCATTAGGAGCAATCACACAGTGGACCTCCAAAGGAGGCTGGTTTTGTTAAGTAAAAGGGAATGAAGCACAGAAAATAGTATTAAAGATGAACAAACGCTTCCATTATTTCAGCAAATTAAATGCACTTCTCCAAGTGAAGAAGGCAAAAGTCAGTCATTATCTGTCTGTGGTACAGCGCAGCAGATAATAAAGAGGGGTTTATGATCTCTGAAAGCAAATTAGAGGATATTTAAACAACACATCTTTCTATGAAGCAGTGATAATTACAAAATCAGGTCAAAATACAGAACAATCTAACCCTGCCCCAAGCTAATGTTACTTGAATAAGCTGAAATCTCCTGTATTCTCTCGCAGAAGAAGGAATCATTTGGGATGCAGCTGTTCTCATTATTGTTTATCATCTGGACTCATAAACCCTTGTTAGTGTGTGCTGATACTTGTCACATCCAAAGCTCAGCACTGCTTTGTGCCTTGCTGATCAGCTGAGCAGGCACAAGGCACAGCTTCTCCCTGCTGCCACCTTCACCTCCCACACCATTTTGGGGTAGGAAACTATGATTCTGTGAGTCTGTGAAACTGGTCTTCCTCTGGCTTATGCAGCTATGCAATTCCCACTACCAGTATCTATGCGGTCCTGAAGTTTAGGAGTCAAACAAAGGCTTATTCAAATCAGGAGATGAATTAGTGTGATCTTCAGTGAACTTTGCATCCAACCCTTTGGTGCACTGGTGTGTCCATGTTGCTTTCTTTTTCTCATTAGGCATTTCCAATAGTACCTTTTCTTTAACGCACAGTTTAGGCTGGGCTTTGGAAAGTGTTTTGATAACCTGCTCTAACTCCTAGGACTCCAGGGCTGATCATCCCAGGAGCTGCTGAGGATGTTGTCCAGCCTGGACCAAACCTGCTACCTCTGAAGCCAGTGGGATTGTTAACCCACTGCTGGTAAGAATGTCAACACAGAGCACATTCCATGCTCATGAGTGACAGATACTGCATGGTTTTGATAGACAGAGAAATTAGGTTCTAAATCCTTTAGCTATCTTTTGCAAAGTTACCCATAGTCCATCTTGTAGTGATTTTAATGACTTCTCTGGGACGGGGACAGCTGCCAGCCTTGCAGGGGCACCACGTGTTGATGGTCACATTGACCGTTGCAGGAAACGTGTGTAATGATCAGCCCCGAAACCAGGACACCTTGTTAATAGAAGCCATAATATCAGACTAAAACAAGTGTTTTGGATTCAGGCCACCTCTTTGCTATCTCCCTGGCATATGAACTCTGAATTATCAAGCATTCAGCAAAATGCTCAGTTTCCTGCTGGTTTAGCCCTGAACAGAATTTTGCTGATAAAACCAGAGGATGAGCTGATTCCCCAGACCTTCCCCTTGTCTAATCCTCTGTGACCCACAGGATGAAAATTGAACTGATTAAAGCACTAGAAAACATACTGTGGGAATCCTGTCGCCGTTCACCCCTGAGGGAAGACTGGAACGGCCTAAAAGGTCTTTTCCCTGCTCTAATTTGGGTGATCTTTATGATTCACTTTGCTCTGCTGGGGGAATACAAAGGAAGAGGCAGAGAACCTGGACAAATTGTTGCTGGCCTTGGATACTAATAGAAAGAAAGGTGTCAGAGTAGATGACAATGAGGTCGCACGTGCCAAAGGAGGGCAGCTGATGAGATCACAGCACAGCCACCAGCTCTGCCTGGCCTCTCATTAGCAGCCAGAAAAGAGCCCGGCTGATGGGAGAGGCCAGGGGTGGTGGCACCAGCAAACACACACTGCCAGAGGAGAAAATCTCCCTCTTCCTCCCCGGGGAGCTGCTGCGCTGCTTTTCCTTCTTGCTGTGAAATGGGGAAATTGCCAGCACTCTCTCAGTCCAGGTTTGTTTGTTGTGTCCCTTCCCAGAGAGTTCTCTCAGATATCTGTGAGGACTGGGTATTAGGAACAATTCCTGTCCCAGCGGGTGCTCCGGCAGTGGAGCAGGCTGCCCAGGGCAGTGCTGGAGTCACGGTCCCTGGAGGTGTTCACACACCGTGTAGAAGAGGCCCTCGGTGCCATAGGTTAGTGGTGGCCTTGGCAGTGCTGGGCAATGGTTGGACTGGATGAGCTTAGAGGTCTTTTCCAACCTGGTTAAATCTATGATCCCCCCTCAAAAAACCTGTCCTGGGGATTGACGGGCATCCTTTCTGCCCCAGAGGCACCTTGGGCTGTGCCTCCCTTGGAAGAATCCTTCAGCAGCAAATGCAGTTTAAGAAGTCGAGCAAAATGAAGCACACTCCTCCTCATGGTTAAGATATTAATGTAGTGGTATCCTTGGAGGAACTACAGAGCAGTTTCTAAACAAGCAACCTTTCTGCTCAGCTTTGCTCCAGGCATCTCGGGATATGTCTGCAAACATTAAATTTCAGCCCTCTGCTGTCTGACAGTTTGGGACTGGAAACCGGTCCCGAGCAGACTCAGCAGCAGATCAGATGGGTGATGACTGTGTAATTTATGGAAGCCTTTGCCTGTGTTACAGAGAAAATAATTGCAGCAGCAGGCATAAAATAATGAGCTGTGGTTGTGCTGCAGATTGTTTTCTCTTACTTTTATGGCACCTGACATCCAGTGCATGTGCTGGACAGCACAACATTATAGAGTCGTTCCTATAGACTGGATGTGAGACATTCCGATTAGGGTTGAGCTCAGCTCGGAATTGGGAAGTGTAATGCTCCGGCACATCACACTGACAGAGCAATTCCAAGGAAGCAGGGATTTAACTGACATGCTGCCTGGCCAAGCTGGTCCTGAAACCAAACAGAAGCCTGAAGTTCAGAGGGTTTGCTGAGATTCGGAGTTTTTCCTAGGACAGGCAGTGCCTGGAGGCCTGGAGCTGCACTGGGAGCACGTTACCCGGGTCTTAGAGTCACTCAGGATCATCTAAAGAACAGCATTAAAAACCATGGGAGTGTGAAGGCTGCACCCATGGTGCATGCTGTAGTAGTGCCAAGCAAATATAAATGCTGTCAGCAACACAGGAAATGAATCCTTCCTTAGGACAAGGGGGTTTCCCTGCACGGAGTTTTCTGCTGTCCTTTTATCAGCTCTAGCCAGCTTGAGGAATCCAGCAAGAAACTGTATCTGCCTGGAAAATTCCTAAATACCTTGGTAGCTTTTAATTGAATGGCTTCTTTTCTAGGTCACAGCACTGCCATAGCAGGTACCATTTTCTCCATTAAACAGTGTCATTTATTGTGAGTAATTTTGTAGGTCTCATCAGGTTACTTATTTCATAGAATCCCAGACTGGTTTGGGTCGAAGGGACCTAAAAGCTCCTCCAGTTCCAACCCCTGCCATAGGCAGGGACACCTTCCACTGGAGCAGCTTGCTCCTCTAAGCCCTTTCCAGCCTGGCCTTGAACACTGCCAGGGATGGGGCAGCCACAGCTTCTCTGGGCAATGTCCCAGAGTCTACAGCCTGGGGCCTGGTCATGTACTGCTAAAAGAGCAGCTTCAGTTTTGGAGGTATCAGGGAAGGGCCACACACCGACCCCTGGCAGAGCTCGATCCCCAGCAGTCCATCCCTGAGATGAAAAAGAGCATCCAAAGTCACAGGGCTTTGCTACAACCTCCTGTTTCCTTCCGTGTCTCTCCAGTTAATTAGTTATGCTCTTCTTCCACTTAATTAGCTCAAAACCAGCTCTTTGTACTTAGCCTTATAAATTACAGACTTTTTCTGTCTGATATGTTGCAAGGGGTGACACTTTCAGCATTTTCTTAGCAGGGTCACATTTACAATTCTTAAAGGTTTGGAAGGAGCCTCACTTAGCCCTGCTGTGGAGCACGGATGCTTGGAAAGGCTGTTCAAAGGTACCATGATTTCCTTTAAAAAATTATCAGAGGAACTGGGAGAAAAAACTTGTGAGGATCAAAGCAAATGAACTCCATTAAAAAAGACTAAGTAATGACAAAAAGTTACTGAAATAGCAAACCTGCATGAAAGTGGCAAAAAGAACTTCAGCTGTTCATAAGGTACCAAGGAAAAACGCGGGTGACTGTTCAATCAGATGGATGACAGTAGGTTGCTGCAGTCAGTTTTAAGGTTGCAAGAACATTGGAAAAGCTCAGACTCATCTATTTAAAATCAAAAAGATTTCTGGCCTTTACCACCATGCTAGGCCTATGCAAGTCATAAGCTCTAAGTGTGGAATCTCCTCAGCATGGGCATGCACAGCTCACCCAAAGGAAGGTACAAACAGCAGCCCCATGATGCATCGTCCCCATTTAACAGATTAAAAGGCTGGTGGCACCCATGACATGAGCTGCACTGGAACCAGAGCCTGGTGAGCTAAAACCTGCATGCCCAGCAAGAGGGGATGGGGGCACTGGAGGTGCTGGAACATCTCCTCGGGAGAGTTTTTGAGAGACAAAAGTAATTAATTCACAGTGACTGCAAGAATAAATACGCAGAGAAAGGAATTTGGTGATTTTGGACAGAATACAACAATACGTTACCAGTATTAGTATTTGGAGGAGGAGATGTCAGGAAGAGATCAATTGCACTGAAGACAAGAGTTTTAATTCCAGATTTACACCAGGGTAAGGCAGACTAAAACCAGCCCTGTGAGTGCATTACTGACTCAGTAGTCATCCATCTGCTTCCTGCAGAAAAGCTGTGTGAACTGGGATCTGCTGGGGCTGCTCCCTCCCCACACAATACATCTCTGCTGCATGCAGAGCTGGGCTGTGCTTGCACTGTTTATCCATCTATCTTTCCACTCCAAATAGACCCGGCCCTGTGCATACACAAGACATAGACTCTGAAAATACTCCGTTAACAATGTGTCATTGAGGCAGGGAGAGGATAAACACCAACACAGCTCTTGGCAAACTTGACCTCAAAGTTCACGGGTGGGTTTTTTTTTCCACCTCTCCAGCCAGAAGTGATGTTAAGCAAGAGAGCTCCCGGAGCGGTGTTTATTGTTACAGAAAAGAGTTCACGTGCTTTGTGATCTGTTTGGAACTTTTGAGCTCTTTCTAGGGCTGGACGCTGATTTCCTCAATGGCATTCAGAGTGCATTTCTCAAGTACACCTTATCATAGAACCACAGACTGGTCTGGGATGGAAGGGACCTTAAAGCTCATCCAAGTTCCAACCCCTGCCACGGGCAGGGACCCCTTCCACTAGAGCAGCTTGCTCCAAGCCCCTGTGTCCAACCTGGCCTTGAACACTGCCAGGGATGGGGCAGCCACAGCTTCTCTGGGCACCCTGTGCCAGCGCCTCAGCACCCTCACAGGGAAGAGCTTCTGCCTGAGAGCTCATCTCAGTCTCCCCTCGGGCAGGTTAAAGCCATTCCCCTTGGCCTGTCCCTACATCCCTTGTCCCAAGCCCCTCTCCAGGTTTCCTGCAGCCCCTTCAGGCACTGGAGCTGCTCTAAGGTCTCTGCTTAAGGAGCCTTCTCTTCTCCAGGCTGAACAAGCCCAGCTCTCTCAGCCTGTCCCCAGAGCAGAGGGGCTCCAGCCCTTGGAGCATTTTCATGGCTGCCTCTAGACTTGCTTGAGCAGGTCCATGTCCTTCTTGTTTGGGGGGCTCCAGAATATCCTTCTACAAGGTTATCATGTAATATGAAGCTGGGGCTTGTGCTTTCAGTCCTCAGACCCAAGCCACAGAGCTCCTGGGGATGGAGTTGAGAGCAGAGCCATACATCAGGCTCTCTCCAGTGCTTCACCTTCCACACTGAAAAGGGGAAGAACCTGCCCAAGAGGGGGATAGCAGAGTTATGATGTGTCTTATTGATTTATCTACACAACACTAGGGAAAGAATACAGAAAGAGAGTTTAGATAATACAAAGATAGACATTTTCAGTACCGACTTAGGGTCACAGGAATTCTATAATCAGATCTCTAACTCATCCACCTCACTTAGATTTTGCAGCAGTGGATAATACATGACACATCAGTCAGAAACCTCCGTGGCGAGCAGGACAGTGTTTTGAAAGCTGTGTCCTTGCAATATTGTTCCCATCAGAAAAGGACATTTATCTCTCCCTGGGCTCTGTGCTGCGTCCCCGATTGTTTGGAGAAGGAAAAAAGCCCAGCCAGACCAGGCAAAGCTGAAGTTTGCCATGACAAATTCACCGAGCAGCTCATCTCACCTTGATGTCTTCTGCAGGTGCAGCTACATAAATCTAGGCGCCCGTGGTTAGTGCTCAGCTGCAGGACCAACATCTAGTGAGAGGTTAGCTCAGAGAGAGGGGGAAAAACAATTCCAAAGCAGTCAAGATCTTAATCCCAGCAGTGAAAAGATGGAAGAAGTTTCCAAACAACCACATAGCTGCAAAGTGTTAGTAGTGAGCATGGATCTGATTTTACCTGTGGTAAAGCCTGCAGCCAACTGCTGGAGCCCAGGCATTAAGCATAGAATCAACCAAGTTGGAAAAGACCTTTAAGATCATGAAATCCAAGCATTATGATGGAGTAAGGGCTCTGCGGTTTACACATGGCCTGCTCATCCAACCCTTCCCAGCTTTCAGCACTCAGCTCCAGCCAAATTCTTAGTTTATGGAAAGAAAATGTTGGAAACCCCCCAGTTTTCCTGAAAGGGTGTCTGAAAGTTGAATTAAAGAAGCCCAAATTTTCCTTGCCCATCTTGGATGGAGAACCCGATTGGGCATTGATCCCTGGCAGGGATTTAATCATTATTTGGCAGCAATTCCATGCATGGTTTGTATCCTGTCCCTTAATTGTTTTGCAGGTTCTGCCGCAGACATGGCTTTGACCTCCAGCTCTCACCCCAGGACACACCATCTGCTGAGGGGTTTGAGGTGGTTCTCCCAGCCAGGATGAAGCAGCCTGTCCCAGTGCTTGGAGCAGGGCAGGGCTCGCCCTCAGGGACGCAGACTTTGTGCACGTCCTTTAACACCAAAACTCTGGAATTAGGTAAAAAATCTCACCCTGGGATTTCTGGATACGAGCCTAAACTCCAAACCCCACGTGGTTGCATTGTGCCTAATTACAGCCTGTCTAAAATGTGAATGGATCCCAGCAATGCAATATTCATACTAGAGGATTATTATATTGCACATACTTTGCAGTTAATGTAGTTGGGCAAAAAGGCCCAATAATAGGAAACCAGCCTGCTGTTGGGTTGAGTTTTCTTGGCTTATTGATTGAGTTTTAAAGTTTAATGCGAGGAGACAGTTCTATAGTACAAAGTGTATTTTAAGCATCTATTTATTAAAGCTGAATTGTGCTAGAACTCCTGTGCAAAAGTACACCTGACAGCTAAATGAATAGCAAATTATTTCCCGGCGTCTGTGCTATTGTCTGATGTTTCTGTGCAGCTGGTTCCTGCATGTACTGCAGGTTAAAAGAATCCTCAACCTTCTATTTAATACAACAAACTTTGTCAGATGTTGTTATTATTTTTGCTGGATGTCATAGCCAAGTGTAATGTATGCATAAAAAACCTCCCTGACTCCTTGAGCAGCCTAAATCAGGTGGAAAGAGGCTGCAGGAGTGAGGAAAATTGGAGCATGGGGGCTTTTATTTAATCTGGTTCAAACAAGCTGTAATTAGAGGCATTAAAATGCTGGTGAATCCAGTAAAACATTATTCACGATCACTAAGGATTCTGGCTAGTTCCTCTACAGAGTGAGGAGCAGGAGCTGGGTGGCAGGATGCTCTGGACAGAGCAGGGGCTTGGAATGCTGCTCATGGTCCATGAAATGATAGATACCATTGCCATGGTGTTAACAGCCTGAGCACCCCACAGAGAATTCTAGAATCTCGGGGACCTCAAAAATCATCTGGTTTAACCTTTCTAGGCACAGCACCACCTAAAAGATGTCCAACACTGGGGAATCCACCACTTCCCTGGAGGGAGACGGAGAGGAGATAGCACCCTAAGCTTTGCAAGGAAAGAGTTAAACTAGAGTTAAGGAGAGGTTCCCAGCTGCGTGTCCTTAGCAGTAATGAGCCCAGCTGGAACGAATCACCAGGTCCTTTACCATTTGGAGAGGTCCAGCAGGTGCCCAGGATTGGCAGTGGGCCTGGCTTTAAAGGCTTGTTGATAGCTGCAGCTCTGGGTGGAGGGTTTTCCTGCTTTGGAGTTTCTTGCTGGGATGATGTTCTCGAAAGAAGAAATGCAGATTCACTTGAGGCTTATTCCGGAGCAGCTTGTAGTAGTGTTTCTCCTTTGGGCAAGAAAGGTAAGAGAAATACCAATATGGAAAAAAATAGATATATGTGCTGTGTATCAGGGCATGGGGGCAGGAGTTCATTGCATGAGATACAGAAGTGCAATAAATCATTGCTATGTGTAGCCTAGAGTTGATTAAATCAGACTCTGGGTCTCTTGTTGAACCTGGAAAGTTGTGAGGTGACTTTGTGAGTTAATTGCTGTGGCTGTTGCTGGAGGGCTGGGAAGAAATGGGATTGAGGTTGCTGGTAAGGAGTCTGTGCTGATGGCTTTACCTTTTGTGCTGCTCTGCTGTAGTAACAACGAATGCTTATGGTTTCTTGTTGTTGGGGTTTGGTGCAGTTTGGGTTTCTTATATTGAGTTCCTTAGCTTGAATTACCCTGTTCTCTGTGAAACAAAGATTTAGAGGGGAGGTTTAAGGGGAGATTTCCATTAGGTATATGTTTAAAATGAAAGGTGCTCAGAAGCAGCTAATAGGAAAGGAACTGGGAGTTTGATGCACGGTGGGTGGGTAAGCTGGTCATAAAGTTTGACCTGATTTATTTAATTTTCTGGGAATAATAATAATTCTTTCCTGAAGTGACAGTCTGCATGTCAAAGTTTCAGCTCAATTTGAAATAGCTGAATGATGGATTCCAAGGGGAAAATAATGCTGGGTGTGCGGTGTACGTGCTGACAGTGTCTAACCGAGGTGTTGCTCGCCACCTTAACGTGCCACAGAAGAAATTATAGGCTGGCAAAGAGAGCTGTATTTCATGTGATTATGGATTGCTTGTGTTACTATCCATTAGGAAATAAAAAGGAGAAAAGGCATTGGGGGGAGTTGTTAGTTTTTTAAGTCTTGCACTGAAAGTGTTTCAATCTGGAGTAACTGAGTTACTTGCAAAAATAGTAGTTTTAATGATGGTCTGGCCTCTAAGGGGGTAAAACGTCTGCCCTGGCAGAATTCAGCCATCTAACCTTACAGTAGTGCTGCTTGGAAAAATCACGTTTTCCCTGAACCTGTAGCATTTTTAAGAAATTAATTAATTCTGCTCTAGTTTTCCTTGTGATAGGACCTTTGAAAATCAGATGCACTGATTCACTCGCTATCCTTTGTGTCCTGGTGTAATTTATCATATGGGAGCAAAATGTCCTGTGTAAATCACAGCTGAATATCTGAAGAAGCTCGCTAAAAATTATGGGGACCATCAAAGTTTGTTTCACTGATAAAGTGTCTGAGAGCTGTTTCTGATAGTACGCTGGGTATCTTTTATTAAAGATATAATTTCAGGAGCTTTAGGTGTGATTGGATTTTGGAAGTCTCAGTGGGTAGCTTATGAGAAAAAGAACAATTGATGAAAATAGGTTGCTAAGATAACTGTCTGCAGCCTCTAATCTGTATGCTTGGTTGTCCCAGGACAGCAATCCCCACAGCCCTCCAGAGGCCTCTGATTTTATACTATGCAGCAATAACATGGTCCATATGCTGTGCAAAGACCGCCTGTAACTTCTGGTCCCAGGTCTTGAAAACATTTATGTACGTTATTTAACTCCACCTCTTAAAATGGGGCCCATTGGCAAGCCCCATGGATAGATGAGCATGTTAAAGCTGTGTTTGGATGTATCGGTGCTGTGAGCTATGGGTCTCTACCAGTGTGTTTGTGTCAGCCCAATGTCGCTGCAGCAGCTTCTGTGCAAAGAACAAGCCCAGGCACCAGCCTGGGACCACATCTGGCAGGAGCTTTCTCACCTTCTTGACAGTATTATGGGGCCTGAATTCAAACCAGGAGCTCGTAGTTGGCACCAGGTTGAGTTTATTTGTTTAGGATGTTCAGTTTTGTGGTGTTCTTTGCATTTGTTTTAAGAGCTAAGTAAAATTTGCTGAGTCCATATTCCACTCTCTGTTGATGCAAGTGTAAATCAGGAAACTAGCCTGCCCTACCCCATAAAAGGCTCAATATTCTTTTCTACAACTGCCCATTAAGCTTCACAAATGGATAAATAAGGAACCGAGATGTGTCATTTATTCATAGCACTTGGAAGGCGGGGAGGAATGCCATAAATCCATGGGCACCTTGGGCTTCACATCTGTCACTAAGCAGCCTGGAGCATCACGGCTGGCGGTGGTGCTGAACACACGTCCCCTCGCCTTTCCCCCAGGCCTTTGTCTTCAGACCACAGGAGACACACTTTGCTGCCCACCACCAAGCCAGTGCCCCTGCCTGAACCCCGGGAGCTCAAGGGATGGTGGCTTTTTAGCCCTGTTCCTTCTCACCTCTTCTTTTCTGCCATCTCACCTGCCCAGACCCTCTGCCTCCTAATTTTTCTCCATTTCACTCTTCTGAACTCTGTAGACCTGGTTTCTTACTGTGTCAATGCAGCTTATAGGTAAGAAAAGCACCATAGATGTCACATAACTGTCGTGCCAAAAGAAGCAGGAAATAAGTTATTTAGCTCTCCTGCACATGTGTGTGATGTGTGTGTGGAAGGGGGGGGCTTTTGCAAATGCACTAGGAATGATAATTAAACTCGCAACTCCTCATTATTAAAATGGAGTTACAGGAATGCTTCTGGCCTTCAGGATTATCTGACCATCCTCACATAGCATTATGTAAAGCCGAAGGCTTCGGGAGAAGGGCATCATCTGCAGTAACAACAACATACCTCCCTGTCTCCATACAATAGAAAGCTGGTGGTTTGAAGGGGCTGATAGATGAGACGGGAGCACCTTGTTTGCACTGCAGCAGAGCCCAGTAGTGAAGGGGCAAAGGCAAAGGTGTATTTCTCAAAGAAAATGATGTAAATGAGGCAAGAATCCCTCCAGTTAGTGAAGTTATTCCAGCAAGTGGCTATATAAATGTCTTTATATTGTTATTTCTGATATTAGTTTGTTGTTCCTCCATGAAAGCTGATTTATTTGAAATGTTATTACTTGAAACACCCTAATCTTTTTGTAATAATTCATATACTGGAGATTACAGTTTTGGAAGGCAGCCCAGCTCTGGCTGGAATCCTATTTATGGATTAAAGGATTTGAACAGCATTGCAAGCTAGATCTCCGAATAGCAGGATAATGTAAACCTGGTTCCATATAAAATGCTTTACCTCTGCAATAGTAACCCCATTAAAGGCAGATTGTTGGAGGACATTGGACAAGAGGACTTTCATTACAGTAAAGCAGGATATCTTGCACCCCTGAAGAGCAAGGATTTTCAGGGCTGAGTCTTCCCCTGGTTAAGATGCTCTCAGCTGCATCTCTCCTGTCTTTTGGAAGCCATCATGCCAACTAATTATAGGGGCGTTATGGTAGGTTTGAACAGACCTTCTGATGCAAGAGCCATTGTTTCTGGTGAGAATTGAGCCACCACAAATGAGGTGCCCCAGCAAAGAGCAACTCCTGCCCCATAGCAGGAGGGAGGCAGCTGGGAGCTGTGATTCCATGTAAACAGCAGCACAAGGGCCCACCCCAGGGCTCATTAGTGTTATTGAAGGGACAATCCCACCCCAGGAAACTGGGAGCTTTGGAGAGTGTTGTTATTAATTTCTTATTTAATGTAACAGCATGAGGGGGAACCCAGTCACAGGCTGGAGCACTGTTGAGACAAGATTTGAAGCAGAGCACTGAAGTGGCTATGGGGCTATTTATAGGCAGCTTTTACCATAATCAATGTGCAATAGAGCCTGGCACCCTGGGCCAAGTGGAAGAAAAGGTGGGAAAGGGAGGCCAAGCAGTTGGGAGGGATGAGCTGGTGGAGAGCTGCAAGGAAAGGGGTGATGCAAGACAAACCTGCTGGTGTTCAGAAGATGGAAATGTGCTTGTTGCAATAATTAGGCCAGAAGATGATGAAAACCTGGAGAAGACTGAACCCCAGGGAAGGCTGAATGGTAGAGATACTATGCAAAAAATCCCTCAAGATTTATTGGTGCTGTGGATGTAATGCCCTGGAGAGACTTCTAAGCTGATGCTCAGCTTTTCTTTATTGTATGTTCCCTATAGAAGTAGAGGAAGGCATTTGAGAAGAGTGCTTAGGAGAAGATTAAGATCTTGTTTTTTCCATATGGGTGCAGTGCTAACACTGAGGAGGAGGTGGGGAGGAAGACTGCTGTGATCAGCTGCACAGCATTGCAGGGGGATTAGAGCAGAAATTCATGATGAGGATCACCTGCTCCGGGAGATGAGGCTTTCCTTTGGTGCCAATGATGCTCTGCAAACGCAGGTTGTAATAAACAGCTATAAATGGGGTGCTCAACACATGTGTTTGCAGGTATTGCTTGTATCCACCCACCCAATTGTGGTCTAAAAGCAGCAGTTCTGTGGCATTGGGAATGATTACAGCACTGCCCTGGGCAAAAATCATTCCACTGCTCCAGATCTCCACTTCCTTGTCTATGGAACAGGGTAATACTATGTGCATCCCAGAGGATTTGAGCATTACTTATTATTTCTATAGGGATTTGAAGGTTAATAGCTTTACACAAGCATAATTAATTGCTATTATTTAGTTTAATATTCTCTCAGGGTACTTTGTCCATACAAAGCTTGTTCTACCATCCTCCATGTAAGAGCATCTTGAAGCAGCACAGTGTGGCTTTGGTACAGGAGTGTGTATCCAAAAATGAGAGGCTGTGCAATAGGATGCACAGGTATGCCAGAATTTATAGTGATCTAATACATTGCCTGCTATATTGTGCCCTGCTTTTCAGGCAACGGTAGCTGGTCACTATTCAGGGTGTTCTGATAAAAACAATGGTAGAGCAGCTCTTCAGTGGAGACAAGGTCAGATGGGACTACAAAAGAAATAAGGGTAATAAACATTTCTTTCTGTGATGTAGATTGTCTTAACTCTTTGTATTTGTTGACCCTAAGTGAAGGTGGGCTTTGGACTGATAAGCTCAAGTGTTCACTCTGTTTTTTACAAGAGTCAGATTTCATGCCTCTTTAGGCTGTTTTCAGAGAGCCCAAACACTTCTTGCAAGAGAACTCTTGTGTTAATGCTTCTGAAATAATTCATGGAGGCTTTTGATGT